AAGAAGGACTACGAGTACAAGTCCCCACCTCCTCCTAAGAAGGACTATGAATACAAATCTCCTCCACCACCTAAGAAGGATTACGAGTATAAATCACCACCGCCACCCAAGAAAGACTACGAGTACAAATCTCCTCCACCTCCCGTCGTGAAGCCATCACCACCGCATTACATCTATGCCTCACCCCCACCACCTCCTTACCACTATTAGATCGATCAGCTGCCTTATATTATTGCATGAAGGTAAGATTTTCATAAATGCAAATCTCCATTTGTTTACTTCAAGATATCGCATTCTATTTCCAGTGTTGTTGATTTGTTTTCTCCATCATTAATTACACTTATATTCACTTTGCTTTATAGTTCTGCAGGTAAAAGAAGAAAATTTAATATCCATATCAATAAAGAGATGGCCTAATGAAGATCCTCATTGCACTCAGATGAATGGCCTTCGATTATTTACGTCTTGTGGTCTATGTTTGTTTCTAGATTTGGTATTTCATATTATGTATTCATATACATACAAAGATTAGCATTGGGAAATGAGAAAGTTAATTTTTTTTTTCCAAAAGATTCAGAAGCTTCGGTTAATAGATGTTGACTAATGGTTCCAAACTAACACTAGCTATATCTTAAAGCCGCCATGCAACACGAACAAATGGAAGAAAATCTATGGAAATAATTTGTTAAACTGAAGGCAAAAAAATTGAGATAAAAGCTGCTCATAGTTGGAAGGTGGTAGCTAGGCTACTCAGGATCAATTTCGTATTGTTCTTAGAGTGTGTTTAGGAGTGATTTTGACATGACCAAAATTATTTTTGCTATTGTTGAAATAACCTCCCTTTCTTTTGGTCATGTTTTGCAAATTAAAAAATTGATTTTAGGAAAGTTTAAAATGACTTTAAATTGATTTTGAAGGTATCATAATTTGGACTGTGATTTTGAAAAATCAATTATACTTAAATCTCATTTTTGAAAATCACTCATCCTACCATCACTCTCAAACACACCCTTATTTCTTGTTTCTTGTTTCATCTTTTTTAATAAATAAAAACTAAACTGCATTTGGTAACTATTTTAATTAAAAAAGTAAAAACATGTTTTGTAATTATTTATTGTTTCTTGTTCTCTAAATTTTTAAAGAAAAAATAAATATTTTAAATGAAAATAATTCAAAGTACAAAATTTTTATATTATATTAATTTTAAAAAAAATATTTATTATGTATTTTATGAGCTAGAATGATAAAACAATGCTTTCATGTTGATCTGTTGGAAAAAATTTAGAACTGAAATGAGAAACAAGGAAAATTTTGTTGTTTACACAAATTTCTATACAATTTCATCAAACACTTATTTATAAAAAAGTTAAAAATAAGTGAAAAAAACTATAAAAGGAAACGTTATCCCTTTGCAAGTGCACTAGCAGTTATGCATTAGGTCAACATATTTTGGCAAGTACTTTGTCCTTCATTGTACTTGGCCTTTTGGATTACAATTAAATATTATGCTTACCTAAAAATTCTTTAGGTCTCGTATCTTTTTATTAATAAAAAAGAAACTCATATGGAAGCTCGAGAAACTCATTGAGTAGCGTTGCAGATGGATTATAAAAAATGAGAATTCTGGGAGAAAATTATGCAAAACATTGGAGCAGAGACTTCAAAGAGACCTTATTCTAACAATGCACATGACATCCAAATTCGGATATATAAAACCTCTCCTTTAGGTAATATGAGCTAGAATTCTGGGAGAAAATTATGCAAAACATTGGAGCAGAGACCCCAAAGAGACCTTATTCTAACAATGCACATGACATCCAAATTCGGATATATAAAACCTCTCCTTTAGGTAATATGAGCTTTAACTCAGTGATAATTGATACCTCTCTTCCTCACTAAGAGGTCACGAGTAATTCAAAAAACACTTTCTCAGAGCTTTATGGAACTCACAGGCTTCTCCCTACTTTTGAATAAAAGAATATAGGAAGGGAATTTAACTGAAGTTAATACACTAAGCTTAAAGTATTTCTATCTAAGACAAATAAAACACACCGTCACGAAGAGAATGTAAGAACTTTTGGCCAAAAAATACAACCTTGTTGCTGTGCAAGGGCAAAGATGAATACCTCTATAAAGTTCTGACATTCCCCTTTAATACAACACGTAAAGAGCAAAATAAAGAAAGTAATGAGATCATATTGATAGCTGAATAAGCTAAGTCAACTCATAAAAAATGCCTATAAAGAAATGAGTTAAGGAGGAGCTAAATACACAAAAAAGGAAGAATAAAATTAAGCTACAATCATAGACAATATTCATTTAAGGTAGGAAATCAATATGATTGAGGGACAGATTGATGGAGATATGCAGGCCTTAATTTAAGGAGAAATTTAGTTGTCTTGTCCAAGCTTGATTTGTAGCTGTTGGAGTTTTGGAGAGGCTGTCCTCTACTGATGTAGGTTGACTTGGTTGACCATGTTTATCCTATTGTGTTGCTGATGTGATTGTTTGATTGAATATTGTATTGATTTGGTTGATCTTCTTTTACCTTCGTTCTCAAACTGGAGGTAGGGAGGGCTCGAAAGCCAAGTTTGGAAGTAAATCCATGGAACATGTCTTTGGGAAGAGGTTTGGTGAAAATATTAGCAAGTTGTTTATGAGATGGCACGTAAACTGTGATGAATGAACCAAGGGCGACATTTTCTCTGGCATGAAAGACGGGTTCATAGACATCTAAAGTGCACTCATATTGTCACTAAAGAGCTCAGGAGGTTTGTGAGGTAGAATGCCTATACATAGGAAGATGAAGGTTATCCAAGTAAGTTCAGCTGCGATATCGGACATTGCTCGATATTCACCCTCAAAGCTTGATTGTGAAACTGTTGGTTGCTTCTTTGACGACCATAAGATTATGTTTGAGCCAAGGAAGACATAGAAACCAAAAGTGCTTCTCCAAATAATTGGACATCCAGCCCAAGCCGCATTATAAAAAACATAGAGATTTAAGGAGCTATTTTTAAGGAAAGTAATACCATGATGCATAATTTTTTTTATATAGCGAAGTATGCGTTTGACATCCCTTAGACGTTGCATCTGTGGGTTATGCATATGTTGGCACACTTTGTTGATAGAGTAAACAATATCTGGTCTTGTAAGAGTGAGGTACTGTAGCGATCCTACTAAACTTTTGTAAGCTGTTGGATCCACCGACTCATTTTCTCTTGGACACTTATTCTTACTCATAGTCATGGGAGTGGAGATTGGTGCAGCTTTCATCATTTTTGCCTTCAACAAAATGTCCCTTTATATTTGCTTTGGGTAATATGAAAACCATTTGGAATATCTTGCACTTCAACACCTAAAAAATAGTGTAAATTCCCCAAGTCTTTTAAGGCAAATTCAATACCTAAGGCAATAACTAGTTTAGTAATGAAACTAAGGTCATTTCTAGTGAGTATTATGTCATCCACATATATGAGTATAAGAACAAATGTGTTGTGTTGTTTAAAAATAAATAATGAGGGGTCTGACTTGTTATAAGTAAATCCCATATGTATGAGAAAAAGTGAAAGTCTATCAAACCATGCTCGTGGGACTTGTTTGAGTCCATAAAGATACCTTTTTAGTTTGCACACATGATTAGGATAGATAAGGATAGATAGGATTAGAAAAACTTGGAGGTTGGGATGACATGAAGACATTTTCCTTGAGATAACCATGAAGGAAAGCATTTTTGACGTCGAGTTGCTTGAGAGACCGATTGTAGGATGCAGCAAGGGCAAGGATGAATTGTATTGTGGTACGTTTTATAACTGGGTTAAAGGTTTTTTCAAAATCTAGTCTTTCTATTTGAGAGTAGCCTTGTGCAACCAACCTTACCCTGTGTCTTTCTACTTATCCGTCTTCTTTAAATTTGGTCTTAAAAACCAATTTTGATCCTACTATGTTGGTGTTCGGTTTTGGGGTGAGTTCCCATGTCTTGTTATCAATGAGAGCTTGAATTTCATCTTCTATTGCTTTCTTCCAATCTAGGATTTTAAGAGCACTTCAAAACTCTTTGGTTCTAGTGATGTTGTAACAAGAAAAGTTTTGGGTGGCTCTTGTTCCATTTGATTGATTTGTTGTCTCAGCTTTGATTTGGTCAGCATAGGATGAGAGGAAGTGTGGGTTGATGTGAGTACGGTGGGATCTTCTTGGTTCATCTGTTGTGAGGTATTTTTACTCATGGTTGTAGATTTTGCTTGGTTGAAGTTTCCATTTTCTGCAAGATTTTCAAAAGGTAAGTGAATAGATAAAGATTCACTAATGTCAGGTAATAAGTTGAATTCAAATTGAGTTAAAGGTTGAGAATGTTAGGTTTGTAAGGTGATTGTAAACAAAATCCCACATTGGCTAGAGAAGGGAATGATCATGGGTATATAAGAGATGACAATTATCTCCATTGGTATGAGGCATTTTGGGTGGAACTAAAAGCAAAGCCGTGAGGACTATGCCCAAAGCGGACAATATCATATTCTGATGAGAGGTTTGATTCTTTCTTGGATATTGTTGTTTGTTCTAAACACTGAGTGACATTGATTTTGAGTCTAAGCCTCTGGTGTTTCCCAACTTTCAATATCTGAAAAGCTAGTAATGTCTAGAAATTTTTGTTGTTTTGTAGTGTATGCTAGTGAAGGGCATGACTTCTTCATCAAAGATAACATGTTGTGATATATAAATGTGATTTGTAGTGGGGCCTAAACATCTATATCCCTTATGATAGGAACTATAACCAACAAACACACGTGGATAGGTCTTTTTGGTAAACTTATTCTTTGCTTCATGCCTTATAAGGATAACATCTACACCTAAAAACATTTAAACTATTGTAATTTGGTTTTATTATAAGAAGTTTCTCAAAAGGACATTTCATTTCAAGAGATTTAGAGGGCATTCTATTTATTAAAAAAGTTGCTGTTAGAAAAGCATCAACCTAATAATTACAAAGGAATGTTTGATTGAAAATAAGGGTAAAACCAGTCTCAACTACGTGTCTATGCTTCCTTTCAGCCACTCTATTTTGCTGTGGTATGTCGGGACATGACATATGATGGATTATGCTACTATGTGCTAATATTTCTTTGAATTTTAAGGAAGTAAACTTGCCCCCTCCATCAGACTGGAAAACTTTTATTTTTCTTTCAAATTGAGTTTCAATCATTTTTTGAAGTTTAATAAAACAGTCCAAGAATTCCAATTTATTTTTAATGGAAAAATCCAAGTGAACCTAGAATGATCATCACAAAACTAAAATAGTATTTAAAACCTTGACAAGATAGAATAGGTGCAGGACCCCATAAATCACAATGAACTTTGTCAAAAGAAAACATGCTTGACTCATTTCTCAAAGGAAAAAGCAAGCTACAACTTTTGCTCATTTGGCAAGTTTCACATATATTTTCTACTTTCTTCCAATTTGATACATTAATCAAGTCATTATTGCTTAAGTGTTTAATAGCTAAGTCATTTAAATGTCCTAAACATTTGTGCAAAGTAGAGATAGACACTTTATTAATAGAATTTGGAGCAGA